AATAGAAGCATCTTTACCTCAAGCGCTCGCGATATTGCTTTTGAAATTGAAATGATCAGATGAAGCATCAGTTCTTGATGTCCGTCCATAAGCAATTGCTTTTCTTTGTGTGGATCTCAAGTTCTTGCCGATGATAGAGACGCATGCTGAAAATAAGATTTATATGAGTTGCAGAACTCTGAAAAATGCTCTGTCACAGTACTCACAATGCACAACATTTATGATTTATCACCTAAAATCTTTCTAACTCTTTTCTAACTAACTTCTATAAGGTAATACGATTAAAAAAATGATTATCATGATCAACGATTGAAAATTAAATCTTGATCTCCTTGATCAACGATTGAAAATTAAAATTTTCCTCAAAGATCACAAAAATAATTAATTTTCGAGTTTAAAAGTACGATAAATGCCAAAAATATAAAAATTCTCGCAAACAAAAATCTTTCTTTGAAACTTTGATGTTCGAAAATTTGCACAATCCAAAATTTTCTTGTTATTTTGATTTTTGAATGCATTTCTTCAGCTAAATAGGTGCATTTTCCAAACTATTTCTTTGGTTTTGAAGTTTTAATGATTTAAAATACAAAAGAAATGTCAATTTTCAGTGCTAAAAGTTCAAAGTTACAATGAAATTACAGAAATGAACAGAATTACAGAACAGAATGATATGAAATTGCATTCCCCAATGTACAGAAAAAAAAGCGTCGATCCTTTTTTCGTCCTCTGGTTCAAGTTTGACAAGAGTCTGCAAAATTCCCCCCTCACACTTATGAACTTTGAGGCCTAATTTAGTATAGTTTCTGCCGGAAACGAGTTTTTGTTTCATTGCACTCATCAAGAAGCTTAGCTTGAATCTTGTACAATTGAAAACTTCACGCAATAATTGGGAAATCAATTTAAAGCGGAACTTTTGGGATAAAGTATCCAACCAAATTTCTAGGCAAAGCCAAGAACAATAGCTAGATAAAACTTTGGCATAAACTGTAGCCAATCTATTAGATATAAAGGGACTGAGATGTCTGTCTGTCTGTCCGTCTGTCTGTCTGTCTGTCTGTCTCGTCTGTCCGTCTGTCTGTCTGTTTTTCTGTCTGTCTGCCTGCCTGTCTGTCTGTCTGTCTGTCTGTCCGTCTGTCTGTCTGTTTGTCTGTCTGTCTGTCCGCCTGCCTGTCTGTCTGTCTGTCTGTCTGTCCGTCTGTCTGTCTGTCTGTCTGTCTGTCCGTCTGTCTGTCTGTTTTTCTGTCTGTCTGTCTGCCTGTCTGTCCTGTCTGCCTGTCTGTCTGTCTGTCTGTCTGTCTGTCCGTCTGTCTGTCTGTCTGTCCGTCTGTCTGTCTGTCTGTCTGTCTCTGTCTGTCCGTCTGTCTGTCTGTTTTTCTGTCTGTCTGTCTGCCTGCCTGTCTGTCTGTCTGCCTGCCTGTCTGTCCTGTCTGTCTGTCCGTCTGTCTATCTGCCTGTCTGTCTGTCTCGTCTGTCTGTCTGTCTGTCTGTCTGTCTGTCCGTCTGTCTGTCTGTTTGTCTGTCTGTTTGTATGTCTGTCCTGTCTGCCTGTCCGTCTGTCTGTCCGTCTGTCTGTCTGTTTTTCTGTCTGTCTGTCTGCCTGTCTGTCTGTTTGTCTGTCCTGTCTGTTTGTCTGTCTGTCTGTTTGTCTGTCTGTCTGTCTGTTTGTCTGTCTGTCTGTCTGCCTGTCTGTTTGTCCTGTCTGTCTGCCTGTCTGTCTGTCTGTCTGTCTGTCTGTCCGTCTGTCTGTCTGTTTGTCTGTCTGTCTGTCTGCCTGTCTGTTTGTCCTGTCTGTCTGCCTGTCTGTCTGTCTCGTCCTGTCTGTCTGTCCGTCTGTCTGTCTGTTTGTCTGTCTGCTCTGTCTGTTTGTCTGTCTGTCTGTCTGCCTGTCTGTTTGTTCTGTCTGTCTGTCTGCCTGTCTGTCTGTCTGTCTGTCTGTCTGTCCGTCTGTCTGTCTGTCTGTCTGTCCGTCTGTCTGTCTGTTTGTCTGTCTGTCTGTATGTCTGTGCGCGCTACTCCTTAGGCCCTAGAGGACCGTTTGAAATGATTTTTGCGCCGTTGAATAGGGAATTACATGTAGTTGTGCAACGAGCTTTTGAATTTTTTTAAAAAGCACAATTCGAGTCACATGGGGAGGTCGAACCCGGATCGTATGGGCGATAGACCGGCGCGCTATCCACTGCTCCACGGCGACAAAAGCATCCGCTTCTAAACATCGAGAAAATGGCTGATCGGCATGATCGGCTGGTAAAGAACCCAACATTTCAATCTGTACTTTGTGCTCGCATAAACGCACAGCTTCTAGTGGACAGGATTTCTCATATCAAGAGTCCTTTTTGCTCGCTTTGTCTTGCTGAAGAAAGGCGAGTAAATGGTCGATGAATGTTCAATGTTCTCTGTGCTCGGCTCTCCCAAATGCACGCTTTCTGGCGCACTATTCCCACTTGCAAAAATGCTCTTGTTTTTCCAATTTCCAATTGCAATTTCTCTTCGCAAAACAATCATTTCCTCAATTTTGAAATCACTTTTTTTTTTGACATTTAAACCCCCAAAGAACAATCTTATTATTGCTTGGAAAGTTCAATTTGCTATAAAAAAAATAAGTTTGCCGTAAGGTTCCCCAGAGAGATCATGACAAAATGTAAAGATTTTCGAAATTTTGATTTAGAAAGTCCAACCCCCTCCCCGATTTCCGTCTAAACAATAATGCTGAGCTTTTGGCTTACTGTATCTTCGTTTCATTGTAGTCGGATGTTTCGATAAACTTTCAGTTAATTTCCCTGTTCTCCGACAATATTAGACATTTTGTGCATGGCCCGTAAGTGGTTTTTAATTTTTTTACAGTTTCTTGTAAAGGATCTGTTCTGAGAGAGAAGCTAGATCCAGTTCTGGCTCTATTCTAGAATCTTAATAAGCCAGCAGTCTGTTTACTAGTCGACTTCTATTCTCGATCTTTATTTGTACAGTATTCCCCGTACAGTACAGTACAGTACAGTCAATACAGTATAGTACAGTACAGTACAGTCAGTACAATACAGTACAGTACAATACAGTATATGTACAGTATTCCCTATGTCAGGTAAACTTTTGGAAGAGTTTTAAGGACTGTATTGCTTTGTTTAACAAAAAAACTATTATATCTTTTGATGGGAGAAAGTTAGAAGGTTTGAAAATTGATTAAGCCTTGATTTAAGCCTAGATTTAAGTCACATTCAGTACCTACATATAGTAGTTGTACCTACAGTACTTACAGTAGTGCAATCAATCTCGTTTCAACTTCAATAACTGGCTTTCAAGCTGTTTTTACCTTTTCACAGAGAAAGAACCAATAATCCAGCGGGCGGGATTGAACCCTTGACCTCCCGACTAAGATACAAGGCTCTTAGCCAGTCGGCCATCGAGGCGAAAAATCGATTCTTTTATTTTTCTTCTTTTAGTGGGCATCTTAGACAATGATGACTCGATTCTGACATGCATGAGCACATGGATCATGCTCATTTTAGGCATTTCCACCAATATTTTAGCTCTACATCTAGCCGTCAAACACTCACATCATGTAAGTATTCGATTCAAATGATTTTTTTTTACAGTACTCTTTACGGTACAATTGCTTATTTGCCTTAAAATCACGACTGACAATCCATTTTTTTCAGAATATCGGCAAATATCGCTATATTTTGTACTGTTTCCTCGTTCACAACATGATCTTCACCCTGGTCAATGCTTTAGCTGATTGGGCAAGTGAACTGAACTGAAAAACTTCAGAAATAAACTCTCCCCTCCAGAAATTGCAATGAATTAGCATTAGCTATTTGCTTAGAAACTGTTTGTATCAAGTAAACATCAAATACCAAAAAGCTTTTGAAATTAAACTCTAAATCATCATTCGAATCCGGCTAAAATTGTAATTGGAGGTTTAGAAATAGATAAATTGGCTGTGTTACAAATTGAGGATCAAAAAGTAGTGTAAAAGTCAATAAAAGAGCAATAAAGAGAGCTAAAGAGCTAAAAAGAGTTGAAAAAGAGTTAGCTAAAAACTTGGGTAATTAAACCATTAGAACGGCTTTTTCGGTACCTCATATCCAGGTCTTTTTCGTTAATCATTGTAGTCTTTTTCGTTAATCATTGTAGAATTGTTAGAAAAACACAAACTTTCTGTCGAGAAACTCGGAATTCTAATTGTGGATCCGGAATCTACGCGATATTTTACATTTAGAAAAGTAATTTGTAATCAGATTAATAATTTGACTATGCCGTTATATGAGGTAATTATAGGTTAATTTAAACCAACCACAAGTTGATCCGACCGATGGAAATGGAGATATGGGGCGATTTTTACTGATTTTATCCCCGGAAATAGGGATTACTAAAAAAAGGAGTTTTACTGATCTCTTAGTAAAAGTACTCTCTTATTAAAAGAACGTGATTTATTAAGAGTAATCCCACGAAAACTACTCTTAGTAAAAGAAAGGGTTTTACTAAGAGTAATCACCGTGGAATTACTCTTAATAAAAGAGAGTGTTTTACTAAGAGTAATCCCAGTGGGATTACTCTTAGTAAACGAGAGGGATTTACTAAGAGTAATCCCCGTGGGATTACTCTTAGTAAAATAAAGGGATTTTAACCTAAATTTTCTCTTTGGTTTTATATTAAAGTGTAGTAAGTGAGTTATGGATATCTATAACAGAATTGCATAAGAAATATTTTAAAACCAACCTGAAGTTAATCGGTCGTCTGGGAGTTGAGATTTGAAGCAAAAGAGTTCGGTACCGAACTCTTTGATCTAACTTTAACCTCAATTCTCCGTTTGTTTTTATATTAGCTTAGAGGTCAATACTAACTTAAGAGTAATCCCACGGGGATTACTCTTAATAATTCACTCTCTTTTATAAAGAGTAATCCCCGTGGGATTACTCTTAGTAAATCACTCTCTTTTATTAAAAGTAATCCCACGGGGTACTCTTAGGTATGGTACCATCTTCAAGGTTGGTACCATCTTTGAAGATCAAGAATGCTTTCAGTACCGGAAGCCTTTTCAGTACTGAAAGCCTTTTCAGGCCTGAAAGTACCCTACAGTAATCAAAGCTTTTTCAGTACTGAAAGTCTTTTCAGTACTGAAAGCGTTTTCAGGCCTGAAAGCCTTGGATTGGAACCGTATTGGAACCATATTAGAACTTAATAGGAACCGTATTGGAACCGTATTGGAACCGTATTGGAACCATATTTGAACGTAATAGGAACCTTATTGGAACCGTATTGGAACCGTATTGGAACCATATTACAACTTTAATAGGAACCGTATTGGAACCATATTAGAACTTAATAGGAACCGTATTGGAACCGTATTGGTTCCAATATGGTTCCAATACGGTTCCAATACGGTTCCAATACGGTTCCTATTAAGTTCTAATATGGTTCTTATTAAGTTCCAATACGGTTCCAATACGGTTCCAATACGGTTCCAATACGGTTCCTATTAAGTTCTAATATGGTTCCTATTAAGTTCTAATATATAATGGAATTTCATAAGCAACATTTTAAAACTTAACTCAAGTTGATCTGCTCACGGGAATTCAAGATGTAATCAATTCATGCATCGTGACATCTAGAAAAGTCTTGAGACTGAATTTGATGAAAGAAAAAGAGAAGAGTAATTAAACTCCGACGACGAATAGCACAATTGTCAAGTAAAAAAAGTGCTTTCGTTAGGTAACTCTGATTTTTTCGACAGATTTGAATTCTACCCTTAGAACTATCTCTCTAGAAAACTCTTGAGACTGAATTTTATCTTAAGGAAAACTTTTTTACAAATCGCAGATTTTAAATGGTTTTGATATGAAAAGATACTTCAGAACTCTAATTTGTAAAATTCGAAACAATATTGTAAAAATGTTAAGAAGTGTTATTGAATTGATTGAAGTGTTATTGCAAAAATTTGTTTTATTTGTGGGAAACTTGGGTAATTAAACCACCTGTACCACCCGAAAAAGGTTCCATGTGCCAGACGATGCTTTTTTTGAAGTCGAGGTGATTTGGACCCTCTGGGACCAATAAACGCGCAGGTTATCGCTTATGGCCACAGAGGGGGTCATAAAAAGCAGGAGTCACCGAACCACTATCGGCAGCGGATGTCCTCCGTGCGCCACTGTAGCGGATGTAGGTCCGTGAGGTAAAGGAGAATGGCACTCCTAAGTACCCGGGTACTTTAAAGCCAAGGGAATTGTCGGAAAGCTGAGGGGTACACAGCTCAATCAACGCTCAGTCAAAGCAAAGACTCTAAAACTCGGAGACCCAGGACTTTTCAGAGCCTGAGACGGTGGCGCGTCTTCGTCAGAGCTTGAGGTAAGGGTGATTCCTCCAAGATAGCTCAGGGTGACCCCCTCCCTCACCGGGGAGTGCTTGGGGGGATTTGGGGGGCTAGAAATAGCCCCCCCCAAGTGCTGCACTTTTTTACTCTGATTTTTCATAAATCCAAGCTGATTTGCCTGATTTTCTGAGTTTTCTGAATCTTTTGAGTTTCTGGGGTTTCTAGGGTTTCTAGGTTTCCTTAGTAATACGAATCTTGGAATCTCTTTAACTTTAATTCTTTAACAATTGTGCTATTGTTCCGCGCTAATCACTCTTCTTTCTTCCATATCTTTCTTCCATATCTCCATATCAAAGTTGGAATCTTCCGTTGGAAGTCTGCAAGCGGGAATCTGATATGGTAAAAAGCCTAAGATTTTAAGTGCAAATTCGGATTCTACATAAAATTTGGAGCTAGAAAAGGTACTTTATAAGATATTGAGTAAAGGTTTTCTTGAATTCTACGCTAAATGCAAATATCGTTCAGAGATCAGTTATAGGAGACCGACTTACTACAAGACTTTTCGACTTAAAGACAAGTGAAGATAGAGAAGTATGATAAAAAACACTTTTCTAAGCTCGATTATTGATGGAAAATTTGAATTTGCACTTAAAATTAGGGCTTTCCTACAAAAAAGTACCACTTTTCATCAAATCTCATAAATTTTATAGGGGTGATTCAATGAAACAGTCTATAACTCAAGATCTAAGAGTCGAATCAAATAGCGGTTGCGTTTATTAGAATCTACACAAAATTTGACTTTAGAAATGTTTTATTTGTTTTAAAGACTTACCAATAAAAACCTAGATAAAATTAGGCCATCTCGCGCATGCGCAAGTTGTTCATAAAATAGTCAAAATCCTTAACAACTCGCGCATGCGCAAGTTATTCATAAAATAGTCGAAATTATCAACAACTCGCGCATGCGCAAGTTGTTAATAAAAAGCCCGATATTATTAACTTTTATCCGTCCGGATAAGAGTTAATAAAAAGTCCGATATTATTAACTTTTATCCGTCCGGATAAGAGTTAATAAAAACCCTCTATTTATTAACTTTTATCCGGGACGGATAAGGGTTAATATCAACAGAGAACCAAGACTGACGTCTTGCCGAGAGACATTCGGGGCTAGAGAGCATGCAGCAACCTTAGGTCCTCTAAGTCGGGCATAAGGTAATGAATTAAAAATGAATTAAAAATGAATTAAAAATGAATTAAAAATGAATTAAAAATGAATTAAAAATGAATTAAAAATGAATTAAAAATGAATTAAAAATGAATTAAAAATGAATTAAAAATGAATTAAAAATGAATTAAAAATGAATTAAAAATGAATTAAAAATGAATTAAAAATGAATTAAAAATGAATTAAAAATGAATTAAAAATGAATTAAAAATGAATTAAAAATGAATTAAAAATGAATTAAAAATGAATTAAAAATGAATTAAAAATGAATTAAAAATGAATTAAAGTTAAGAAAGCTAGAGGGAAGAGACGCAGAGAGGAAAAGACGAAAAGAGCAACTTTTAGGAAACGGATAAAGGTTAATAAAAAGACCCTTTTTATTAACTCTTATCCGTCGCTGATAAGAGTCAATAAAAAGGGTCTTTTTATTAACTTTTATCCGGCGCGAATAAAATTTATCGGCAATTTAGCACTGACGTCTTGCCGAGAGACATTCGGGGTCAGAGAGCATGCAGCAACCTTATGCCCGAAAGTAGATATTCATGGTTTAAATGCTAAATTCTATCTGTACATAAGCTATTCTTTGAGACTGATAGATCTATGGTTACCAGACTTTGTTCGGGATCGAACCCGACTTGTGTGAGTCGTAGAGAAGCGTGCTCTGCGTCTGGGTCACGCGGACAATGAGCTAGAGTTCCAAAACAGCTTTAAAACTTCAAAACTGGCTGAGCAAACGATAATTATAAGATCTCTGTAAAGTAAAGATGTGAATAGATTAAGATAATCTTGTCAAGAATGAAAAAATAGTGAAAACCAGAGATGAAACATAAGAATTTCTTGTCTGATTCTAGAAAAGTAGCCTTGAATCCATTCTAACCTTGATTTCTATTATATTTTATGATAGATTTTTGTTTGTTTCCTTGCTTCTTGAAGCCTTCAATCGTTTCAATGCTTTCAGAAGACAAATTGAGCTCTCCGCTATGCTAATTAAGCGACTTTTTACGAATTCTCTGTGGATTTCTTTGTTTTCTTTGATACCGTACAAGAAATTATCCAAAAAATGAGAAACCTTTTTTCTTTTCTATTAAAAAGCTCATTGAACTATATTTAAATGATTGTTAGTTTATTTTAAACAAACCAAAGCAAGAATCCGATCATTGATGTCCTTGTGAGCACCATCGCCGCCGTGAACAAAGTCGATGGAACGATCGAGCAAACGATTAGGAAAGCGTAGATCTGAGAGAATTACGGTAAAGGATATTGAAACTACTGTAATCCAGGAATCGAATCTCTCTTTACCTTAAAAATCTGATCCAATTCCCTGACGCATCGATTGAGCTGCGTGTGAATGAGGATCATCTCCTCCACCTTTTTCACCATCTCCTCTGGAGTCTCGGCTTTCATCTAAAGGTCTTATTTAATTTTCAAGAGCTATTTGGAGGAGCTGAAAGGGAAGCTGCAAGCTGAAAGCGCAAGCCTAAGCCTAAGCCTAAGCCCAAGCCTAAGTCTAAGCCTAAGTCTAAGCTTTAAAAGCTAATCAAATACTCCAGATCTGGCCTACTCCGAGTCCAACTTTGAAGCTCTGAAAGGAGAGAGAAGTAGCCTGTGCACTAGATCTGGTTCTCGATTCGATTCGAATCTCCCCAATCCCATTATTCTCTAATTCTCATAAAGCACAGTGAACAAACTTTTCATAAGTTTTGTATCTTTCAATCACTGAAGATTATTTTTTGAGTGCACTTTTGCGAATTAGCAAAATGAATACTAACAAAAAGCTTTTGAGACTGAAAACAGAAAACTAAACTGGTATTAAAAGGTGAAATTCGTTTTCAAGTCAACCTTGAGAATTTCAACTAATTCTGATCTAACAGGATCTGGAATTTCTATCAAAAATATAGCCAAAGATAGGACAAGAATCGATCTAAAGAAATTGGGTAAAGTGGCGTATAACAGCAAAGAATTCGGCTCATCTGGTCACCACTCCTTTTCGATTCCAGATTTCGAAAGGGGACATCTATCGGGGGCTTATGCCAGATAGAGAGCGATTACGCGCCCGACAAAGAACACTTTAGCAGGCATTTATATATTAGTCTTTTGCTTTGTAGATGGCTTTAAATAAAAATATTGCTGTAAATTTGTACCCGGGGGTTTTTGGGATTGGGGAATCGATTGGAGATATTCATTTTATTGAGTTTGATTCGATCCAAACCGATTTCAATCGATATTTTGATCGAATCGAATAGAATCGATCAAAAACCAGACCGAAAATCAGGTCCCTATTCAAGTGCAATGTCTATGCACAAGTGCCGTTTTATATTACAAGATATAGTACCCCGTTCAAGTACAGGAATGCACAAGTACAGTAATGCACAAGTACAGTAATGCGCAAGTACTTGAAGTTCTGCAAAGAGTTTACCTCTTTCAACTTTCGATTGAACTTCTTCGCCTCCCAGTACATAATATTTGATAAGCACATGTAAGTGTGAAGAGCTAAAAAGAATAAATTTCCATTTAACATTCGTCCAAACCAATCGCCCAGACTTCCATATTGAAATAGATCAAGTAGAGCCGGAGATAGACTAACTCTTCATAAATATAAGTCTAAAAGATTTCATCAATTCCATCACTAGCAAAGTCTTCTCTTACATATCGAAAACTTGAATGAATGACTTCTGTAGCGAAGTCGAATTGCACTGATAGAAAATAGCAAAAATTTGCGCCGATTGCAGTGAAGAAGAGAAAGAGAAAGCGGTTCGTGTTGTTTCGGATTGAACGCTCGCGAGGCTGAGCAATGAATAAGCTTTAGATTTCACTACAAACTGTTATAGTTACAGTAAGCTTATGCCAGATCTGGAAAGCCTAATACTTATCCACTTCTGGAAACCCTGACTTGTCTTGTTTTGTTTTGACTTGGTTGCTATGCTTTCTAAATCTAGAATCAAGTTGAAAGATGGAATTCTTGGCAACTGTCTGTTATTTGTATTAATCTTTAAAGATTCGTAGATCTAATTTTAAGATATTAGCATTTCTTCCATTATTTACCTTATCAAAATACCCTCCATCATCGATTCGAGCGTGTTTAAGAGTGTGAAAGAAATCCGGAATCCAGAGCTTCAATTGAGCTTTCGTCAAGAAGAACTAGAGAATGGAAGGGATTGGTTGAGGCTTTAGAAAGCCTTTCATCTATCTTCCTTCCATCTCTCTTCCTTCCATCTCTCTTCCTTCCATCTATCTTCCTTCCATCTATCTTCCTTCCATCTATCTTCCTTCCCCTGTTTAATCCATATGACTTGACAAACTTGTGAGAACATTGCTTGAGCCACAACGACCATCCACTGATAAGCAGTGCCAGAAGTTCTTGGATCATAGTGATAAACTGCATGGTAGAAATCGTAGCCACAAGTGTATAAACCTGAAAAGTTTTGTATTCTTTTTTCAATCAAAAACAAATCCCTACACAAAGCGATCACCAATCCCTGATAGATCAGCCGAAGAGTGATCGCGAGTTTACTATCAAATGGTCGAAAGCGAATGCCGATAAATGTGATACACTGAAAGCTGGTTGTTTGGAGATTTTGCTCTTAGCCAAAAATACTTTAGGCTTTGAATATCAAGAAAAGTTAAGCATTTTATAGTTTCTTGAATCAAACCCATGCAAAGAGACAAAACTGTCGACAAGCCGGATCACTCAAATCGAAATCCAGAATATCACACCCATCACTTGCTAAGACTTTTCCATTCTTCTTTACGAATCTCACTTCATCCTCTTCAGCTTCATCCGAACAATCTTTAGCCAATGGAACTTGAACTTCTTTCTTCTGAAACGTATTGAACTGAAAAGTATTGAACTTTCATTGAAGATCATTTAGTTACCTCTTGTGTTCATCTCAAAGAATTCTTTTATTAATGAGATTCTTTTATTAGAGATTATGGTAGTGTAGAAAAGTCTGTATACAGCCATTAGAAAGTTTACGATAGTTTCAAGAGTTAGAAAACATTTCATTAAGATATTTTAATACTGTTAATCTACTGGAATCTAATGGAATCTTGTTTTTATTCAATCTTTTATTCAATGAACCCAATTTGTAATTCAATCTATCCTTTTTTCAATCTAGCCTATCATTTCCAAAACTCACCACCGTTTTCTTGTGACTCTTTTGACTCTCACGCTCATCGACTTTCATTGATGGCTTTAGAAAAACCTCATTTCTATCAACCTAATGAAATTAGAAACAACTAGAAACTTAGGAATTCGATTTGAAAGGAAGATAGATGGAAGGAAGAGAGATGAAAGGAAGATAGATGAAAGGAAGATAGATGAAAGGAAGAGAGATGAAAGGAAGATAGATGAAAGGCTTTCTAAAGCCTCAACCAATCCCTTCCATTCTCTAGTTCTTCCTGACGAAAGCTCAATTAAAGCTCTGGATTTCTATAGATTTGAAAATCGATGAGCTTAATTTGTAATTTAATCTAGGAGCCTATCATTTTCAAAACCCACCGCCGTTTTCTTGTGATTCTTTTGACTCTCACGTTCGTCGACTTTCATTGCTGATTGAGGCTTTAGAAAAACCTCATTTCTATCAACCAAATGAAATTCGAAACAATTAGAAACATAAATAAAGCTCAAATAAAACATAAATAAATAAATATTATCAAAATAAGCTTGAGACTTTGTAGATAAAGGAGATTTTAAGGAAATTGGCTTATAAAAACGTAATGAATGAATGATTGAATGATTTGAGAAGAAAACAACTGATGAACTGATTTTCACTGATAAAAAAAAGTGAAATGACAAGAATATTTAACATATTTGACAAAAAACATTGCAAATTTAGTTATTTTTAACACTTTTATTCATTAAAATCTATTTTTGAAGAGATTTCAATGAACTTTTTCCTTTTGAAACTGAAGTACCTTTTGAGAATTTGTTCAATAAATATTGGGTTGATGCATAATTATCCGGACTTCTTTTTGCGTGCTTGTATCTTTTTTGTTTTGAAAGCTTTTTGTCTATTTCTTTTTTTTAAATATTCGTTATTCTTTAGTGAACAAAATGCGTGTCGACAATCATATCCATCTTCGCCATATCATGCTCTACCACTTCGAAAAGGGGTGGTCTGCCGCAGAGTCGTTTCGCGATCTCAAAGAACTTTTTGGTCAAGGAACAATTGGACGTGCAACAGTTTATGAATGGTTCGATCGTTTCAAGTCCGGTAACACAAGTGTTGATGATGAACCAGGAAGAGGACGGCCATCAGAATTCGATGACAAGGCACTTCTGGAAGCCGTTGAAGAAGACGAAAGCCTGACAACCAGAATGCTGGCAGATGAATTCAATGTTGACCAGTCAACGATCGTGCGCCATCTCAAAAAGCTTGGCAAAGTACGGAAATTGCGCCATGTCGTCGAATCCATCGCTAGTAAGGGCTGGGATCTTCTTCCACACCCGCCATATTCTCCTACTGAAGCCCCAACGGACTACCACGTCAATCGATCGCTCAAAAATTGGCAAACAAATAAGATCTACAACGATTTGGATGACTTGATAGACGATGTTAAAGCGTGGATTGCCTCCAAAGATCGTTTATTCTTCGCTCGTGGAATCGATCGTCTTCCAAGCAAATGGCAATCAGTTATTGATGTAGGCGGTGAATATGCTCCAGAATAATCAATTAAACATATTTTTCTAACTATTTATGTTATTTTTTTGTTAAATAAAATCATTTATAAAAGAAGTCCGGATAATTATGCATCAACCCAATAGTTTCAACTAAGCAAATATTAAAAAAAGTCTGTAGATTTCGATTTATCTAAATAAACTTTGAAAATATCTTTAAAAGGAGAGATTTTTTTTTGAAAGAAAACCCTTTCTTTTTAGTCTAATACATTGAATTTTTGAAGGGTTTTTGAGAAATTTGAGCCTCAATCTTTTTTGAAAGCTCTTTTTTTGAGAAATTTGAGCGAATTTAACAAAAAAGGTCATATATTTTGAGAAAATTAAGAGAAAAAGAGAAATCTAACATTCAATTCTTTTCAAAATTTATTTTGAAACTTTTAAAATACGATAATTGTCACTAGAATTGCCACTAGTCTCGCATTTCATTGGTTTTTAAGATTCTAAGCATTCGAGAAGGACTCAAGTATTAGATTTTAAGGATTAAACTTGTATAACAATGTATTTTTGAAAAAGAATCTTAAGTTTTAAATGTTTCCTTTTGTCCTTTGTTTTTCAATCTCTAATGAGGTTCTCTAATGATTGCTGTTGTTGTTGTTGCTGTTACTGGTTACTGTTACTGTTGCTGTTACTGTTGCTGCTGCTGTTCCTGTTGTTGTTGTTGTTGTTGCTGCTGCTGCTGCTGCTGCTGTTGCTGCTGTTGTTGTTGCTGTTGTTGTTGCTGTTCCTGTTGCTGTTGTTGTTGCTGTTCCTGTTGCTGTTGTTGTTGCTGTTGTTGTTGTTGTTGTTGCTGCTGTTGTTGCTGCTGCTGCTGCTGCTGCTGTTGCTGCTGTTGTTGTTGCTGTTGTTGTTGCTGTTCCTGTTGCTGTTGTTGTTGCTGTTCCTGTTGCTGTTGTTGTTGTTGTTGTTGCTGTTGTTATTGTTGTTGTCGATGTTGTTGTTGCTGTTACTGTTACTGTTGCTGTAACTGTTGCTGTAACTGTTGTCATCTTAGTCCTGACTTCGACTTAAACCTTGTGTGCCAGGGATTGAGAGTTGAGCCTGTGATCCGGACAAAAAGAAAAAACGCAAAAATCTCTTTACTTTTGTCGTCATTTGTTGTGATATTTCTGAATATGAAAATAAAGTTTCTCTGAAACTTCTAGATTCATTTGAATGTAAACAAGTTCGTTGTTTTGTTCAAAAGATTGCTAGATAAAGTTTATTCAATATATAATACAAGAGAGATCAAGGAAATATCAAGAAATATCTTAATCTAAAGATCGATTTTGTCAAAAGAGAAAGAGATTTAGATTCAATTTTAGTTTCACAATTCTATAAGTATTTAATTCTTGGTGACTCACGACGCTTTGACCTTGTTCTTCCCATTACCGGATACTGAAATCATTCTTTTAACTGGAGCTGGAATGATTTGGGCAGATGTTTTATGTTTTAAACCAAATTTAAACCAAAACAACCAACACATTTAATACACCTTTAACATTGCCAACTTTGAGCTCAAATTTCTTTGTGTTAAGCTCTTTAATTTCAATAGCTTTTGTACCAATCGACAGAGAAAGACTTGGCGAATCTGATGATGGTAAGAAGGTTTAAATTGAGTAGCTCAACACGAAGTTATTTGAGCTCAAAGTTTGATTGCCAAGGAAAAGGAGGGGCGCGTTTCAAATGTCTGATAGTGCTTAAAGGATGGCTTAGCATACAAACTGATATCAGCTACAATAAGCCAATCAGTAGCTTAGCCAATCAGTCTTTACGGTTACAGTAGTTATAGTAGTTACAGTAACTTAGTTAAAAATGAAAGGATCTATAGACTTTAGATAGACTAGGGTAGGGTAGAGATTCGGTTAGAGTATGGTAGAGATTTGATTAGAGTACGGTAGAGAATGATTAGAGTACGGTAGGCTTTCGATTAGAGTATGGTAGAGGTTCGATTAGAGTATGGTAGGCTTTCGATTAGAGTACGGTAGAGGTTCGATTAGAGTACGGTAGACTTTATATAGATATTTGGCTAGGATATGATAGTCTTTACATAGACTTTACATACACATTTGATTAGACAGGCCAGCCAAAGCCAGCCAAAGCCAGCCAAAGCCAGCCAAAGCCAGCCAAAGCCAGCCAAAGCCAGCCAAAGCCAGCCAAAGCCAGCCAAAGCCAGACAAACCAAAAACCAACCATTCTTCTTGTCCACAAATTTGCGTCCTTCCAACTCATTGTAAGCATAATCAAAGAAGAGCTCTTCACCAGCTTGTAGATCTCTTCCAGCATAGATACCGATTCGATGCTCGGCGTTCACCAACACAATCTAGAATTGAGCTAGAATTGAGCTGGAATTGAGCTGGAATTGAGCGATTTTAAAAGCTAATCTAGCAAGCTCTAATCTAACCATTTAGCATTTATCTAAATTTAATCTAGCAAATTCTAATCTAAACTAATCTAAGCAAATCTAAGCAAATTAAAAGCTTTTCTCATTCTTTTTTCAATGATTTTCTTCCATAGAAGTTTCCTTATTGTTTAACGAGCAAAATTTTATGGAAGAAAATGGAAGAAAATGTTTCTATTATCATTTTCTTCCATCTTTCCAACTATATCATTCAACTATATTTTTCCAGCTATATCTTTCCAGCTATCTCTTTCCAGCTATCTCTTTCCAGCTATCTCTTTCCAGCTATCTCTTTCCAGCTATCTCTTTCCAGCTATATCTCTCCAACTATCTCTTTCCAACTATCTCTTTCCAGCTATCTCTTTCCAGCTATATCTCTCCAACTATATCTCTCCAACTATCTCTTTCCAGCTATATCTCTCCAACAATCTTCTTGAACAAATCCCATTCTGACCTTTGTCTTGCAGTTTGGATTCTTTAAATGATTTGCGAAACGAATCGGATTTCCAATGCGAAAAGCGTCACACGTTTCTTCTTCATTCATTCCTAAAGTTTATCTAGTAATTGTAAGAACTTCAGCTTTCGCAATGGATTTTAAACTTTCATTTATCTTTATTTTAAAACTATTCTACAATCTTTACAATAATTATAGAAATAACTGACCAAATTGATAGGATAAATGGATTCGATCGTAGATTTTTCCTCGTCGATCGCTTTCGTCAGTTTCAATGATCTGAATTGCTTTTTAAATTGATTTATATTGATTATTGATGACTAGATTACGGTAGAATTATTGTATTGATATTGTTGATAACTAGTTTACTGTAGAATGACTGTATAGTACTGTAGAATGCTGTAGAGTACTGTAGAATACTGTAGAGTACTGTAGAATGACTGTAGGGTACTGTATAGTACTGTAGAGTACTGTAGAATTACTGTATAGTACTGTAGAGTACTGTAGAATACTGTATAGTACTGTATAGTACTGTAGAATACTGTAGAATGACTGTAGAGTACTGTATAGTACTGTAGAATGACTGTAGAATACTGTAGAGTACTGCAGAATGACTGTATACTGTAGCACTGACCTCTCCTGTGTATTCACTGATCAACTCATCTTTCTTCGCTGCCTCTAACAAGAACAACCCAAAACCGGCTTGTGGAATTGATGAGAGCTTGATCTAAACATGACTTTTGATCTTTGTTTGTGACCAAACGCAAACGCATCTTTCCTAGCAGACTTATTCCTATTTCTTATTACTTACTCGATTTCTTTTTCAGCTTACCTCGGTTCTTTTCCGGAAACTCCTTGTCAATTGGATATTGTTACAGCTATGTCCATTGTGACTGCATGAAGGATCTGAATTCATTTTATAGTTTAACTTGATACTTTCTATTCTAGAAACTATAGAAAGACAAGTTTTTGAGCTTTTATCTCAGTACTAGACTTGCTCATCGATACAAACGAATCTCACGTTTGATCGTTCAGATCTCAGCTACTAGAACAGCTATCAATCTAAAAATTATCTCATTGGAAAACCAAGAATGTCAGCTTTTGATTGATATCTTATACATAGCAAGTTTTAATGAGTAAACCCTTCATAAACCTATCGATAAGCTTATCGATATCGAAAAGCTTATCGAGATTTGAGTATCGATGAGTTTTGAGAAGGTTTTTAAGGAGCTTATCTATTAGAATTTGCTATGTGTGAGATTGCAATGAAAAGCTGACATTCTTGGCTTTCCAATGAAACAATTTGCAGATCGATAGCTATTCTAGAAACCGAGATCTGAACGGTTAAACATGAGCTTGTCGTATCGACAAGCAAGTCTAGTCAATGTCAACCCAGCGGGTTTAAAACCCAGTTTTTCCGGTTGGCGTGATACGTCGGCGTGGCGCAGTGGCGCAGATGTTTTTCTACAGCCCGCCTGGTCTTTCATCGTCCGGGTTCGATCCCCCGTGGTGCTGCCCAGTTTCAATTTTTGATTTTAAATAACCACTATATTATATTTTAAGGCTTTTAAAAAGAAATTCAGTTTTTTGAATCAAAAAACCCGTACAGACGGACAGACGGACAGCCAGATACTTTATATACTAGATCTAAGCTCACTCACCCACTCCACAATTGAGGCAAGTGTCTGGGTCACATTCAATATTCGCTTTAAAGCAATGACAAGCCAGCGTTTGACAAGAGCCTGAAATAATGTTTACGATTGGCTAAAAAGGCTTAAATAGCTCAAATGACTACTTATCAATGATTACCTTTACATAAACAACCCGGGAATTTGTGCGGGCATTCGTCGCACTTGCAATACTTTGTACAAACTCCCTCGTCGCGAAGACAAAGACATTTGTCAACCTGAAGCGATTTGTTAGCCGTTTAGGGACTAGAAAACTTCAACTGCACTAGATTTCTAACAAGAAAATGTTCTCAAATCAAGATCGAGTTTTTAAATGATCCATTGGGCAAAGAAATCGATCAAATCGTGAAATCGAATAAATAAAAATCATGGATCTCATTCGCGAGATTCGCAATTTTAAAGCAGAAATGTTTAAAGCTTAAATTTCTAGGTTTCTGCGTTAAGAAATGATAGGAAAAGCTTGTAAACTGGCTAAAAAAGCCAGATTTTGTATGCCAAATTACAGAAATATCCTAGAAAAACCAAAAAAGAAATTCAAAACTCCTGAAAACTCGATCAAAAACGGCAGAAAACTTGAGGTTGACTTGAAAAAATTCCCTAAAGTATCGATCAAAATTATATCCCCTCTCTGCAGAAAAGTAGCTCTTTTCTGTGAGATCTTATTTGATGTTTTGACTTTGAATATCTCTGACTTTCTTGTCCTTCCTCTAAAGATCGTTTAGAGGTAGGGACGGAGCAATGCAAAGGGACGGAGCCCACTTTGTATTGCTTTTCTTTGGCTTTGACACAACACTGAACCAACGATTGATTCTATTTTATTCTATTTTCTCGCTAGATTAGTAACTGTGCTATATTCGGAATAAATATCTAATAATGATTGCCACCAAATAATGATTGCCACCAAATAATGATTGCCATCAAATAATGATTGCCATCAAATAATGATTGCCATCAAATAATGATTGCCATCAAATAATGATTTCCCCATCTACCCTCTCACACACTGCACACCCTCCAAAAGCCAAAAAAGTTTCCCTTCCCTAAACACTTATAACATTTTCTCTAATCATCGTACAATCATTTTCCATAAAGATTCTGAAAGCTCTTTTTTAACTCTACAAGATTCACTATAAGATTTTATGGATACAAAAGTTTAAGACGTTTTTTAATAGCTTAAATCAATGGCTTGAATCAATCAATAATCAAAGATGTACTTTTCAGAGTTGATTTTTATCTATTGTAGACCATTCGAATCAATTTTAAATGATAAAAACATTAAAAAAAGACGCTAGGGTCAATTTTTTGCGCTCTTTTCAAAAAACACAGTTTAAAACCGGTTCAAACCGTCTACAATACATAAAGATAGCTCTGAAAGCACATCCTTAAAAGTACAAATTTTTTCCTTTGATTTAAGCTATTAAAAAACGTCTTAAACTTTTGCATTCTTAAAAATCTTATAGTGAATCTTGTAGAGCTAAAGAAGAGCTTTTAGAATCTTTATGGCAAATGATTGTACGATGATTAGAGAAAAAGTTATAAGTGTTTAAAGAAGGGAAACTTTTTTTGAAGGGGATATGATTTTGATTGGTATTGTATTGATAGAAGACATCGAACATCAATAAATCAAAAGACATCGAACAAACCTCACAAGGCTGACCCGGGTGATCACACGGCGAAATCCGGTGCTTGTGCTCGACTTTCATCTTTAAACGATAGCGAGTGTTGCGGAATTTGTTGATAGCTCTAAAAAGATCAAAATAATGCTATCACTAATCGAATAGTGAATCGAAATCTAATAGCAAAGCTGTAATGAAATCTGTAAATCTTATTCCCACTCTTCGATTTGTTTCATCGTCCGTGCCTTTGTCTCAATCGTTTGAACTTCCGGCACGTTGTTTCGCAAGAGAAAATCGTGGACCTAACAAGAGATTGATTAAGGATTTCAACTCAAAGCTGAGAATCGAGATCTTAATCAGACATGAAACAGAAATGCCGATTCAAAATCTGCAATATCTAGACACTCAAACTAAAAAATGATGCATAAACTCTAAATGACTAATGTAGAAAAAACAAAACTAAAGAAATTGGCTTTGGCAGGATTCGAACCCAAGCCCCCGGAAACTCCAAAGGTTTTGTAGACGAGCAGAGTATCCACTAGACCATCCAAGGCATTGGAAGGTCTCCTTGTGACAGCGCTTTATAGAGTCTAAAGCCAATCGAGCCTCTCCTTTCGAAATTAGAGAATCTTCGTCCGAAATTAGAGCAGTTTTTCTATGCCACATTTCTTTGCCAGATTTCTATGAATCTGCAGCTAATTTTTACAGATTTGGAAACAGCATGTCCGATTCTGCAAACCCGATCTTGAATCGATTCTCAGCTTCGAGCTGAAGAGAATGATTTCAACTCAAAGCTGAGAATCGAGATCTGATAGAATCAGACATGCTGACTCTACAAAAATTGATCTACAAAAATTATCTAGACTCGCAAACTGAAAAATGATACATCAATATAAATCAGCATGTCCTTTTCCACGAACCCGATCTTGAATCGATTCTCAGCTTCGAGCTGAGACTAAGCAAATTGTAAACAAAATTGTTAGAAAATTTGGTTTTTCTTTAAGGAGAATCAATTTTCATCGAAATTTCAAACTCACTTGGCTACAACTTGGCAATAATCCTTGATGTCCATAGGGAATAGCAACAGTAGAGACGATTTGAGTAATGAGACAAGATTTCTCAGCTCCACCAAGATCCATAGCTCTTTCTCTAGAAGATTTACATAGCAAATGAAGGATCAAATGAACTAGGGAATGTGTTTTCAATTTAGTTTCAAGTTCAAGTTAGTTTCAAGTGTGAAATAAGGTACAATTCAGCTTCTTACCGAACATATTTTGATAATGACTCTCCAGGTGTGAACCTCTTCTTTGGAGGTTGCTAAATAAATCATTTTTACTATTTCTTTTTCTTTTCTTTCTTTTCTTTACCGTTGTGCCTTTAAAACAATCCTTGCTGCACGGCTTTTTGAAGAGATTTTCATTAAATTTCTCTTGAAATGCTCGATCCACCGTCCAATCGGCAGCTGGATCTGAAAGCAGAAAATTCTAACGAAAACTTTTTGTAAAAATTGCTGACAAACGCTTGGCTTATTACCAAAGCGTCAAGTGTTATATAGAAAAATAAAGCCCTTAATCTTGGCATCATTTTTCTATAAAGAACTTTCCGATTAGAATCATTCAACTCATTTTACAAGCTCTCGACAACTCACTGGCAGATCGGAGAGAGACCGACTGAGCTCATTCGAAAGCTTGTAAAATGAGTTGTATAATTCCAATCGGGAAGTTCTTTATAGAAAAATAATGCCTAGATTAAGGGCTTTATTTTTCTATATAACACTTGACACTTTGGTAATAAGCCAAGCCTTTGTCAGCAACTTTTACAAATTTTTTTGCCTTTTGAAGGCACTTTTGAAATAAATTACACATTCCTCAGCTACTTTTCTAAAAATTTGTCGCTATAATTCACTTGACACTTTGGTAATAAGCCAAGCGTCACCCTATAGAATTCTTCTGACCAATCTACCCACCATGCTTCTTGCAATCGAATTGAGAGCACCGGGAGCAGAGAAGGAATTTCATCGTTTCATAATAAGCATCGATTCGTTCCTGGAAAATTTTCTGTCAAACAAATAATAGCAGAATCTTCTGTCTAGTAGCAGAATAGCTGTCTTGTAAACAGAAATGTTGCCAGGGTCTGTAAGCAAAGCTAGGCCGGAACAGGCAAGAGTCAGAGTAATCCAGAGGTAACGAGTTTAGGCTTACAAGGCTGGCAGATCGTTGGAGAGAGACCGACTCATCCAACTCATCCAACAAGCCTAAGCCTAAGCCTGAGCTCATAAGCCAGCTCCAGTTCTGAAGCCAAGTCCAACCAAGAACCAGGGCCAGGTCTATGGCCGACCTAGGTCCAGGCCTATGGCCGACCTAGGTCCAGGCTTGGAGGCAGATCAAGTCCAGAAGCTAGATCAAGTCCAGAAGCTAGATCAAGTCCAGAAGCTAGATCCAGACTAGAAGCTAGATCAAGTCCAGAAGCTAGATCCAGACTAGAAGCTAGATCCAAACTTGGAAGCAGATCAAGTCCAGAAGCTAGACCTAGTTCAAGAAAACCAATTTCTCACCTCATTACTTCGTTTCTTTTTCGGCGAAAGAATCCCATTCAACCTAGCCTCAATATCGGGTACTCTAAAGCGTACTTTTCACGAGAAAACCTTCCTCCACTCACTGTTCTTTCAGCTGAGTTGGGGACAATTTATTCGGAAACAAGTAGTAGATCGCTTCAAAGAGATCATCTTCTTTGTCAAATCTGAAAACTTTAAAAAATGCAAACAAAGAAATGGATTGTTTTCAGACCTTTTCTTTAAACTTTGATACAATTCATTCAACATCCAATCGTTGATATAATCGCCAAGACCATGACGAACCCCATGAATACCCTGTAAAAGAAGATCAGCTAGATTTGAACTCAAATTTGTCTAATAAATCTAATAAGAGGGATTTTGACAATAAATTTGCATTGATGTCAAGAAAATAAAAGAAATTCTGATTCTAGATGTCTAGGGTTTTTCTTTAAAAAGTCAAAATCAAAGCTTTTCATCAAGTTGCCATTTCCAAACCACTTCAAACACTTACCTCTGGAAAAAACGGTAACAAGTATCGTCCAAAGTCTAGCTCTTCATCCGTGTCCCCAATGAATGGAATGTGAGTGAGGTGGAGCTCGTTTTCACCCTACAATCATTTCTCTCAAATCTAGGCATTTTTTCATTTTATACACCAAGGATCAACCTGTGAAAAGTCATCTGAAATTTGAGATAAATGGGATAGAGTGTGTTCTTAATTCTTAATTAACTAACCAATTAAAGTTGGTCAATTAAAATTTTAATCGATTACGGATTGGAACTAGGGCAGATCAAAAAGATGTGCGGCATTGGGGGTCGAACCCGCGACCTTCCGCTTACCAGCCAACTGTGCTAACCATTACACCATAATGAACCTGGTCTGCCTTACTCTAGAGGGCGTTAAAGAACCGTCGGTCTTGAAGTTTGAGCACTTTTTGGAAAAACGGCACAGCGGGGGTATGGGGCTGAATTACTTTCCACAAACAGTGGACAGGTGGTCTAGTGGGTAGTGGGCTAGACTGTCGCGCTGGTTCTAATCGTTCAGGTCCTTGGTTCGGATCCGCTCACTGTCAAATCATTTTTGTTTTTTCTTTAAATCACTAAAACAACTAAAACAGCCTTTTAAAGTCTATATAAATGATAAGGAACTAAATAGGGTCCTGGAAATGGTTGAAAACGGAGCGTAAAACGTGAAAATGTTGAGAAAAGGACATGGGAAATCGGGGGGAAGATATTTTGGCTAATAATTTTTACCGAAAGAAAAGTTATTGATCTATTTCTTTTTGCATTATATAAATCATCTTATGGGCTACATTTTGTCATGTAATTGCATAGCAAAACCTCCTGTGGATGAATGAAATAAATACGTTTGACCAGTGGCCGAAGAGGCTTTCGGGTCGGGGCCATGGGTGAAACAGGTTTTTCTCGTTTAATTGAAAAAGACATTGAGAAGGATTATAGGTCAAAATGTAGCCCATAAGAAGCTTTATTTAATGCAAAAATAATCAAAACAATAACTTGTTTTGATAAAGACTTTTGGGTAAAATATTGTGGCTGTGAAGGACCCCAAACTGGCCCTATTTGGGGCCCCAAACTGTGCCGATCTGGGGCCCCAAACTTCGCCGATTTGGGGCCCCAAACTGCGCCGATTTGGGGCCCCAAACTGTGCCGATTTGGGGCCCCAACCTGCCCCTATTTGGGGCCCCAAACTGTGCCGATCTGGGGCCCCAAACTTCGCCGATTTGGGGCCCCAAACTGCGCCGATTTGGGGCCCCAAACTGTGCCGATTTGGGGCCCCAACCTGCCCCTATTTGGGGCCCCAAACTGTGCCGATCTGGGGCCCCAAACTTCGCCGATTTGGGGCCCCAAACTGCGCCGATTTGGGGCCCCAAACTGTGCCGATTTGGGGCCCCAACCTGCCCCTATTTGGGGCCCCAAACTGTGCCGATTTGGGCCCCAACCTGCCCCTATTTGGGGCCCCAAACTGCCCCATGTCTACTAGGGATTTCTACTACTTATAAAGCGTTTAACTAGATCAACAATAACTCCTGATTGAATTAGTAGCCAAGTTTCGCCACCTTAACTCTAAACCCAGAATGATTTACCGGTATATTCCCCTCGGTGTGTGTCCACATCATTTTCCTCGCCAACGACTCAACTTTAGGCAAAACGACGACTTTCTGCTTTTGTTTATCATCAATCTGAAAAAACTCTCTTCATCTTCCCAATAACCCCTCAATACCTGAAGCTTTGAATAGCTTGCCATCGAAAAGCAACACTCCGGAACGTCTTTTGCCGTCTCATACAAGCGATTCACTCGATTCAGCGCACTCTTTTGCGCTGAGCTCATCGCTTTATTCCAAGATCGCTAAAATAGAAAGAAAATTCAATCATTTTCACTTTATAAACGCACAAATCCATCAATTTTCTGAATCTCTCCATATTCTTGCTTGACTTTCTCAAAAGCTTCAATCACAATATCTAGATTTTCCGCTGGAGGCTTTGTGATTAAACCGGCTTCTTCCAAATCGTCATCGTTTTCGATTTTGATCTTTCTAAAGAATTTGGGAGATGATCATTAACAATTGTTTAGAAAAGAAGTTTTGAAATGGCTTAATTCTGATTTTAAATCAAATCCATTAACTTTTTTTGGTTAAATTTGAAAAAGAACTGATTTTTACAAAAGTTAATAGAAAAAAGGGAAATCGATTGGAAATGTCTGATTTATTTGATTAGTTGATTGATTGATTGATTGATTTTGAAGATATAGAACTGTAAATTTGATCGAGAATTTGATTTTAGTGAGAATTGGGGTTAATTGGTGTTAATTTAAATGAAACAAAGAAACAAACTTCAACGAATGCATCTCTTCATCCAATTTCTCTTTCATTTTCGTCGCCTTTTTTGACTTTTCATTGATCGATTCGGCTTTTGATTCGGTTTTTGAATTGTTTTCCTTTTTAGCGCTTTTCTTCTCTTCCCTTTGCTCCTTCAGCTTTTTCTTCTTAACAATCTTAGCAATCTTTTCCTTCTTTACAATCTTTTTCTTCTTTACAATCTCTCTGGATTTCTGAAATAAACATTTTGCTTGGTGATCTTTTTTTTAAAAATTACCTTTGAATTTTCAGCGCTTTTCTTTGTTGACGTTGACTAGAAATTCAAGAAATAAGCAAATAAAAAGAAAAAATAAAACTCCCTATAGAATTAAATGTTTTGAAAAGCTTTGAAAGTCTTTGGAAAGCTTTGAAGACTTTGAAGACTTTGAAGACTTTGAAGACTTTGAAAAGCTTTGTAAGCCTTTGAAAGCCTTTGAAAGCCTTTGAAGACTTTGAAGACTTTGAAGACTTTGAAAGCCTTTGAAAAGCTTTGAAAGCCTTTGAAGACTTTGAAAGTCTTTGTAAGCCTTTGAAGACTTTGAAAAGCTTTGTAAGCCTTTGAAAGCCTTTGAAAGCCTTTGAAATCTTTGAAATCTTTGAAAATCTTTAAAGAAACTGAACTCACCGATTTCTCCTTGTTTCCAACTTTCTTCAGCTTTCCCTTCATCTTCTTTTTGAGCTTCTTTCGTGAAGTGATCTAATAAATTTTGAAATAATGTATAATAATAAATTAATATTAAAAATTTTAAGAATTAAACAATTTTAAGATCAAACAATTATATAAAAAAGAATTTCAATTATAACGTATCAATTACATTCAAATCGTTTTCAATTGCGCGCTTAGAAAAGACAAAGGCAGATGTAGTTTATCGAGTGAGCAAAGGGAATACGGTAACTCTAGTGTCAAGTCGTGAACTGATGTCTCTGATAAGAGATCATTTTTACATGGAATGAAAGTTGTGCTTAAAAACTGATAATGGAGAAAGTCAAATGAGATAAGCTATATGTTTCTGGACACAAAATTTTCCGCTGATTCCGAATCTGCTTTCCGTTTTTGAAATGGAGCACTCTGTCAAAAGTTCTAAGTGTTTAAAGTTTTGTATGGGAATTTGTATGGGCAAAGGTTATAAGTAAGCAAGTTATGAGATTTCTTTATAAGCAGAGTTTATCAGCAGATTTCCCGAGGGTCTCCACAGGCAGTGGTGGCCGAGTGGCAGTGGGCTAGAATCCAAGACAGACCCTCTCGGGTTCGAGTCTGCCCTCCGACTATTTTCGTTTACTTTTTTAAATTTGCAAAGTTAATTGTTCTCTATTTCAAATACAACTTTATTTCAAACTACTTTTCATAAAAGTCTTGGCTTTTAACATCAAATAGTTATCGTTAAAAACAATTTCACAGTTTCAATTTGAATCTTTGACTTTTCAATCTTTGACATTACAGACAAAAATAGGTTTCTAAATCAAAAGTTTACAAATTACTCATTACTATTACTCATTACTATTAAAATTAATCATTGCTTTACTTATTACAAATTCGATTACTCATTTCTTCAATCTCAAAGATCAATTTCCCCAGAAAAGCCCCTTCTTAACCCTTTTTTGTTTTCAATATTCAAAAAAGACCCGCAAAAAGGTGGTCAGACACGTTTTTCGCTAATAAATCGCCGAAAATTGAATCCTTTTTGTTTTCGGCTCAGCCACCCAGCCAGATTTGGAAAAACAAGGCATTTAAATAATAGAACTCTTAGACTAGATTCTTTGAGCTTTGAATTCATCATCTTTTTTACTGTAATGGCTGAGATTCATGAGTACAATGGCCGGCGAGCATTGCTCATTCAAGCGGTCGATGGAGATGAGTATTGGTACTATTTGGATGATCCACATCGGAAATCGCAAGCTGCTGGCGAATATATAAGCAGCTCGCAGAAATGCGCGAATTCGGTGAGAGAAACGGGCAAAAGTTGAGCTAAACTAATAGAATAACTTGAAAGAAACCTTTTCAGCAAGTATTGAAACAAAAGTTAGATATGCTTCTCACTATTTTCGTTGTTCTAAAGCCTAGAGATCAGGTTAGAGGCCAGCATTCAGTTCTAGGTAGGGTTACCTCAAAAATAGTTTTTCTAAGGCTAGGCTATCTACCTAAGGCTCAAGACAAGCTGGTTTAATCTGACTCTGGCTTGATCTAGATTTGATTTGAAATAAGGATTTGAAATCTGGCTTGGACTTGACTTCGACTTGACTTTTCTAGGCTAATATTAAAGCTGGGTCGTCACTATCTTCTTCCTTTGACTTTGAAGCACATGCACATCCATATATATTTAGTTTTTTAGAGTTTTAGAGTTTTAGAGGCCAGAGAATGAGAATTTGGAAGAGAATGGTGACGTTCAAAGAATCAAGCGTTCAAGATTTATGGCAACTTTTGAGCTTAGGCTTAGGCTTAGGCCCTCAAAGCGCTCTCAAAATTGGTTTATCGTTAAGAAAGCATTGGATAGGAGTTGTAATAGATTCGAGTTTTTAGCTTATTTCTACAGTATTTCTACAGTTTGATATTCTAAAAATCGATTCATCGGTCACCAAAAGCGAAAAAGGCAATTGAGATTAAATTAAAGCTTCTAAAGAGTATTGATAAGAATTTCTTGTACAAAAACTTGTACAAAATGAGTTCTAATAGTAATCTGATGATTTTAATAAATCTTGAACACTTTGTAATGACGATAGTGGGAGGTAGGGATGCTAGATTCAGTCAGTGATCGATTCTGTTGACCATTGCTAGAAGAATTGCCAGGAGAATTTCAATAAGAGAAGAGAGGCTAAAAAGATATTCAATTGGGTTTATTTAATGTGGAAAACGATGGAATTTAACTCAATAACGATGAAAATTGGTCCAATTCCAACTGGTCCAATTCCATTTGGTCCCATTCCAACTGGTCCAATTCCAACTGGTCCAATTCCAATTGGTCCAATTCCAATTGGTCGAATTCCAATTGGTCGAATTCCAATTGGTCTAATCCCAATTGGTCGAATTCCAATTGGTCTAATTCCATCTGGTCCCATTCCAATTGGTCCAATTCCATTTGGTCAAATTCCAACTGGTCCAATTCCAATTGGTCTAATTCCATTTGGTCCAATTGGTCCAAGAGTTTATGGTCCATAAGCTTTCAAAGAAGAATCTTTTCAGAAGGATTTAATGTGGGACAACCCACCAGGGATCGCCTACAATTGGAACGGGATTCCGATCAGAACAAACGCCAACGATGACATCAAATCATACATTATTGCTATTTATTTAATAGTTTGATCGGAAACAATTATTTGTTATTGAAAAATTTTCCAGTTTGGCCTTTCCGCCTTGCCACTCAACTTTCTATGTGCTTATTTTATCTCAAAGAAAGAAAGCCTCTCGAAAAGTGTGAAATTCTTGCTACTTCTTGATACGTTTTGTCGAATATGTGAAAGTTTATTCTATATTTATAAAGGAACTTGTGTGCTGACGTGAGTTTTAAAATTTCGAGCAGTCTTCAATCTAGAACTGACAATATTATCTAAAAGCAGTCTGTTTGTCTCTACAGACTTTTTCTCACTAATCTTTGGACCAAAACACTTAAATTCTTAAAAATATAATATAGTTATGATATCCAAAAAAATATAATATAGTTATGATATTTAAAATCCAAAATTCAAAGTTGAGTGGCACTACGAGGAGTCGAACCCGGATCCTATGGGTTGTAGACAAGCGCCCTCCCGACTGCGCCATGCCGACAAGCGAGTCGTTGGTTAAAGAAAACCCATTTGAAGCCCATTTGAAGTCCCCTTGAAAATCGTTTGAATTTAAACGCACAAGGGATTGGTGACCAGATTTAATCCTAATCTTCCCACAGACTCCGAGAGGCAGTGGTAGCCAAGTGGTAGTGGGTTAGAATACAAAACAAGTCATGTCTGGTTCGAGTCCACTCGACTTTTTTATAGCCAAAGACATTTTTTATAGCCAAAGACATTCCAAAGTTTGATTTGAAAATCTTTCCAATTTTTTCAGTTGGCATTGTGTTCAAACTGATGGTCTCTCCGGCATTCTCCTGAATCGAATCGTGATCGCGTTCAGCTTGGGAATGGTTTACTCGATGGAATTGCTTCTTCACTCTTTGTCAATCAATCGGTAGATCAAATCCAAACAATCCAAAACGATTTTCTTTAGAATCTTTGCCGTTTTCTTTAACGGCTTTTACTATGAGAGAATTCAAAGATTCACCATCGTGCACGCTTTATTTTGTTTCATTGCACCGATCATTTATCAATTGATGCAAGTCGGTGATTGTGAGTTGTTAAAAAAAGGTTAAACTTGAGTTGAGACTTGGTAGACTTGGCAGACTTGGCAGACTTGGTAGACTTGGTAGACTTGGTAGACTTGGTAGACTTGGCAGACTTAACAGAATGGCAATTCCGCACAATGGCAGCTATTAGGGCACAATGGCAGCTATTAAAAGAAAACGGAAAACTCAAAACAAACAAGAAGAAGAAGAATGTAAGAAATATGTTTTGATCTATATAATTTCTTGTGAGACGGGCCTTTTAAGTATACAAGCTACAACAAACGGACAGCTGAATATCGTCTAGTGACTGATTACGGTAGTTTATCCATCAACTTTCAATTTTTAACTTTTGTATTGAATTTTTGACTAACTGCAGAGCAGTGGCAATTCACCACAAAGAACAATTGTGTAAAGCTGTAAACATAAGGCTTCTGATGCAATCAGTTTCGGTAACTTTAGCACTTAATCGATTTGTAACGAAAGAATCCCGTCATTATCACTTAAAAGAATAAGGAAAACTCAAAAACTCCAGTGGTTGATTGGGTAGATTATATTGTGTTCGGGTTTTCCAGTGGTCGAGCCGGGAACGAACTTCCATTGCTATGCGGGTCCATTCTTTTCCCCCAGTGAATTCTATGTGTTCATTTGGTTTAATATTAACAACTTCTTCGACACTATTGGGTATACGGTAGATTATATTGTATTCGGGTTTCTCGTCTTCGCAATGGTGCTCGATGTGGTCACGGTGTTAGGGATTCGGCTCACGGTTGGATTTTCGAAATCTTTTGGTAACTTTAGTACTTAGATAGGTTTGCAACAAAAAAATCCGTCGTCGCCTTTTTTTGCCTAGCAATTGAAGATTTCTAGTCTTTTTCTCAGCTTCAACTCTTCCCTTTTGGCTATATTGATTATCATTCGATGCAGAATAAGATTACGCGTCGAATGATACCAAAATGAACTCAAAATATAATATCCATGCAAAGTTTTTGGATAAAAACAAACCTCGCCCATTTTGCTTCATAACTTTGCGTGGATATTATATTTTGAGTTCATTTTGGTATCATTCGACGCGTAATCTTATTCTGCATCGAATGATAATCAATATAGTCAAAATGGAAGAGTTGAAGCTGAGAAAAAGACGAGAAATCTTCAATTCCCAACGGCAAAAAAGGCAAAGACGGATTTTTTCGTTACAATATTGGCTTGATTGGCTATTTTAGGTTTAGTACTTAAGATAGCCAATCAAGACTAGAGTGCGTCCATTTAGAGTGATTCTAAAAGGCACCAAAACTACCGTAATCAAGACAAAACAAGCCTAAGCCTGAGCCGTAATCAAATTGCCAGTCGACATTCAATGAGCCCAATTTTCGCATCATTGGAAGCTCTCATCGATACCGAAATTTGGCTGATCAAATTGAAAGTTTGAAGCTTGGATTACGGTAGTTTTAACGGCTTTTAGAAAACAGGAAATCACTGATTTGATGGATTTGTTGGACAGTTTTACATTTACGTTTACTTTACATTTACTTTACATTTACTTTACATTGACTTTACATTGACTTTGCATTGACTTTGCATTGACTTTTACTTTACATTTACTTTACATTGACTTTACATTGACTTTTACTTTACATTTACTTTACTTTTACTTTTACTTTACTTTTACATTTAACTTTCTAGATTAAATCCCCTGAAGCAAAGAAAAGAGCTGATCTACGTTTAGCGATCATGGTACTGATAAATATCCCTTTTTTAAAGCTTTTCAACTCTTTTTCAGATGTTAATCACGGGTACAATTTGGATTGTTGAGACTTCATTTCACTATTTTGTCTCATGGCAATTCTATCAAGAGTTCTGGTATTTCTTCTTTTACGAAGCCGAGCCTTTCCTTGGACATTGTGTTTTAAGGTTTGTAGAGAGAAAAAGCACTGGACAAGTTCAAAAAGTCAACTCAAATTCTAACTTCTTTTACGAGTTTGGATAAATGACATGACATTTGTTTTTTTGACGGTTTATTTACGCTAATTAATAACAGAGAAATGATGCTTTATGACAGAGAAATGAGAAATGATGAATTCAAGCTTCTCCTTCAGCTTCTCCTTCAAGCCTAAGCCTAAGCCTAAGCCTTCAATCAATTAATCAATCAATCTAAGAATATACTTTTTCAGAAGCAAATTCCCCTTTCAGCCTTGTCATCATCATTTTCAATCTTCCACAGAATCCAAAAAAGACTCGAGTTCGTGTGTTGTCGCTCTGCGACAAAAGCGAAATTCAAAAAGCGTGTGGAACACGTCGACTCACAAAGACATCAATCTAATCACGATTATTGAATAAAAGTTTTTGCTTTCGATTTGCTTTCGATTTGCTTTCGATTTCCCTACAATTTCCTTTCAGACAATAACAAACAACAAAGTCCGATCTGACTCGATTTCAATTTCAAGTGGTTTTCAAGAAATTCGAACTGATTCCAATGCAATACAATGCAAAACAGGAATCTCTATTGCAAAAGAAACTGAAGGGATCTAGATGGATGAAGCCAAAGCTCAAGCCAAAGCTCAAGCCAAAGCTCAAGCCAAAGCTCAAGCCAAAGCTCAAGCCAAAGCTCAAGCCAAAGCCTAAACAAGGGCAATCGCTTGCACCTTAGCTCCGGGAACCGCCTGAGATCCAGAAAACTCTGATATCATATCTCAAAGATATACCTTAATAAGTAAAACCAAAAGCTCATAACTGTAAATGCATAAGAAATGCGGATGGACATTTTCATAAATTTCCAAGGATAGAAACCAGATATCGATGAATGTTATAAACTATTGAAAATGATGAAAAACTCGTTCAAAGTTAGACTACGCAACACTGCGCACCGTCATTATGGGGGTGGGGCACTATTACAGTATTTACGGTAAGTTACTCTTAAGCCTTTTACAAGAAAGGTTCCTCAACTTTAGTATCAGCTTTTAAAAACGTTTCCTACCACATTTAGACTAGCTTTTCCCTGATTTGATCATTTTTTTCATTAATTCGGAATCAGCATCATTAATTCTGAGGCTGATTCCGAATCTTTACTCAAATCTAAAATCAAATCTAAAAGCAAATCTAAAATCAAATCTAAAATCAAATCTAAAATCAAATCTCCCAAACGCCCTCTAAGATCAGGATAAATGCTTTTAAAGTTAACCAAAAAATGGTATTGAATGGCATTGAATGGCATTGAAAAATGGCATTGAAATGAAGGGAGAGAAGCAAATGACCGAATGATGTAGTGGTAGTGTTTATTTTGGTGTAGTGGTAGCCTCTGTTTTGGTCTAGTGGTAGTCTCTATCTTGGTCTAGTGGTTGTCTCTATTTTCATGTAGTGGTAGTCTCCATTTTGGTGTAGTGATAATCTCTATTTTGGTGTAGTGGTAGTCTCTAATTTAGTGTAGTGGTTGTCTCTATTTTGGTGTAGGTGTAGTCTCTGTTTTGGTGTAGTGGTAGCCTCTATTTTGGTCTAGTGGTAGTCTCCATGTTGGTGGTGGTAGTCTCTATCTTAGTGTAGTGGTAATCTCTATTTTCATTCTCGTGGTAGTCTCTATTTTCCATTCTTTACAAATATTTATCTTTCAAAATGATATGTTCACAAAGAAAACATGAATTCGATTTTGATTACGAAAACCCGTAGAAGATTCTTTTGGGGGCGGCAATCACAAATATATCGCTGAATAGTAAAAAAAGGGTACTTTCCCTTCAAAACACACCTTTTCTAGAGCACTGAATTCGCATTTTCATCATTTCCCCAGAAAATGAACGTTTTTAAAGACAAAGTGCATAAAAAAACATAAAAAAACAAGCTTTTCCATTAAAAATCTATTTTTAATGGCACTAGAGTAAAAAAAATGAGATCTGTTTGAAAATGAGCAAAAGAAAAGCAAAGAAAAAACCTGAAACAAATGCAAAATGGCAGTGAAATTCGGGAATTTTACCCAAATTCATCCATGAATACCGACAATCTCATCGAAAAGTTTATCCCGAGGACAAATGTCGAAAGTTTTCAGCATTAGCATGTTCTCCATCGATTTGATCGCATGAACCTTCAAATTTAAGCTTATTTTCTATTGTTTCTGTAAGCATTTTAGCCTTAAAGCTTTAGCTTAGGCTTGGGCTCAGGCTTAGGCTTAGGCTCAGGCTTAGGCCTAGGCTTAGGCTTGGGCTTGGGCTTGGGCTTAGGCTTAGGCTTAGGCTTGGGCTTGGGCTTAGGCTTGGGCTTAGGCTTGGGCTTAGGCTTAGGCTTAGGCTCATGGAGAACATGGCTAAGCCTGAGCCTAGGTTTGGGCTTAGGCATGTTCTCCATAAGCCTAAGCTCAAGCCAAAGCCTAAACAAGGGCAATAGCTTGCACCTTAGCTCCGGGAACCGCCTGAGATCCAGCAAATGGGGGTTCAGCCCAAACCCAATAGATTTAGTGCGAGTCGCTAGCCGCTAGCCTTCGCACTAAGCCTAAGCCTAAGCTAAAGCCTAAGCTAAAGCCTAGGCTAAAGCCTAAGCTCAAGCCTAAGCTAAGCCTAAGTCTAAGCTAAGCCTAAGCTCAAGCCTGAGCCTGAGCCAAAGCCTAAGCCTAAGCTAAGTCTAAGCCTAAGCCTAAGCCTTAACTTTAAGGCTTTTTCTCTGAAACGCATCCCATTTGGCACACCAAGAAGAAAGTAAACTAGTGGTGTGCCAAATGGAGATGCGTTTAAGATGAACTCCTTCATTTTCTTTGTCCTTTGTACTCTTGAAGAGTGTAACACGTTCTTTTGGTACACTTTTTTGTAACCTTTGTGTGCCAGAAAGGATCTATTGAACAATTTGGCCTAAAATTTGCATTATTCCTTACTTTAATCCCAGAAATGATGTTGATCAACATTCCCAAACGGACTTCCGGCTCTTCAGCAACACTCCCATTTTGGTACACGACAAAGAGATCCTAGAAATCGAAATCGAATTTCATTTTTAATGAAATTAATGAAATAAATGAAATATCTTTTTTCTAAGATATCTGGCATCTATAATATCTTTATTTTTTTGCACCAAAAACCAACTCACTTTTATTATTTGATTCCGTAATCGAAAGCACAAGTCTTTCGTGGATGAATCGAGCCCCGAAATGCCTGGAAATGGTAAAGCTATTGTTTAGGGATTGATTTTGAATGAATCTTGAGTTTCAAAAGTTTCAAAAACCTTTTATATACTTAATTTCTAGTTTTACAACAATTTACTACAATTTCACGGTCTTTAACACTAGGAAATTGATCAAAATTGATCTATAAAACTGTTGAAACTGGTTTTCCTTGTTTTCGTCTTTTATTTAAGGCATTCCTACGATTTATTTCATTTTAAAATCTCAAAAAGATCACTTCCCATAATTGAATTCATTTTCTATCTTTAACTAAGTTTCTGGCTCAGGCCCAGGCTCAGGATCAGCCTCAGAATCAGGCTCAGGCTCAGGTTTAGGCTTAGGCTTAGGCTTAGGCTTAGGCGCAGGCTCAGGCGCAGGCTCAGGCGCAGGCTCAGGCGCAGGCTCAGGCGCAGGCTCAGGCGCAGGCTCAGGCGCAGGCTCAGGCGCAGGCTCAGGCGCAGGCTCAGGCGCAGGCTCAGGCGCAGGCGCAGGCTCAGGCTCAGGATCAGGGGTTTTCCTTCTTCTCGTCTTTTATTTTAAAAAAACATAAGGCATTCCTTTATTTTAAAATCTCAAAAATCTCCATTCCCATAATTTCATTCATTTTCTATGCTTTAACTAAGTAACTCACATGGATCTAGCAATAAAATTGATGCTAGTGCGACGAGTTCTGTATAGCCGATGTCCATGGCTGCCATTTGACTCCCAACAACATCCAATGCGTGTTGAAATGATGGAATAAATAAACTAAAATCATTTTACTATCAAAAAGCATCTAAAGAAATGAGAAAATCTTCAAAAGAAAAGCGAGAAATTCGAGAAATTCCACAAAACACCACTCTTTCACCTCCACACATTGCGTAGCGCTTCGGGATCGATTTTTGGACTTTAAAGAGTCGATTTTTAGCAATAATTACTCAACCTCTGTACTCTAATTGTTGTTTTTTTTTAAGAGAAATTACCTCCTAGCCGTTTCTTTATCCAAATTGAGGCCCTTAATGCATTTGTCAGTCATGTAATAGTAGTCGATGTTCTTGAAATCGATGTAGGTTCTGAAATCGGGATTATGGGTGATTTTTTGATTTCCTATTACCGATTTGGCATCATCCATTTGTCTTTGCCGAAACCGCAGAATTTCCATGTTAAATATGGCTCTTCAACAGCTTGGAAAAGTAGCATAAAGTTCTTCAAGAGTTTTGACTGAAATTGAAAGATTTAACAGGAAAACTTTAAGTTAAAGAAGCTATAGACTTCCTTGTATTCTTTATTTCCTTATTTCCTTATTTTCTATGGCTTCAACAGCTTGGAAAAGTAGCATGAAGTTTTTCAAGAGTTTTGGCTGAAATTGAAAGATTTAACAGGAAAACTTTAAGTTAAAGAAGCCATAGACTTCCTTGTATTCCTTATTTCTTCTTGGGGAAACAAGGCGCAAACGGCGCAATGGTGTTTTCATGTTTACATAATCGCACGGCTTCTGGCACACGATTTCTAGGGATAAAAGACAAAAGCTGTACTCGGTTACACCTTTTTCTCTTCAATTTATTGAATGGATTCATTAAAAAAAACGGACGAAATTCAATAGCGAACGTAACAGATATAAACTCTTTGTTAGACTCTGTAGACTGTAGATTTAGACTCTTTGTAAAGGTATAAATTTCCAGAATTTCCATGTTAAATATGGCTCTTCAACAGCTTGGAAAAGTAGCATAAAGTTCTTCAAGAGTTTTGACTGAAATTGAAAGATTTCTCAGGAAAACTTGAAGTTAAAGCAGCTATAGGCTTCCTTGTATTTCTTATTTCCTTATTTCCTTATTTCCTATGGCTTCAACAGCTTGGAAAAGCAGCATAAAGTTTTTCAAGAGTTTTGACTGAAATTGAAGGATTTCTCAGGAAAACTTGAAGCTAAAGAAGCTATAGGCTTCCTTGTCTTTCTTATTTCTTCTTGGGGAAACAAGGCGCAGGCAGCGCAGTGGTAAAACGTCTGGCTAGTAAGCGAAGGGGAAAACGAAGGCGGCGTTCAATCCCTCTTGCTATTTTTCTTTGCCATCCCTTTTTTACAAACTTCTCTATTTATTATATAGCTATTATATACTTATTTATTTATTGCATACTTCTTTATTTATCATCTACAAGTTCAGCTCTTCTTTCTTCTAGTCTTAGCTATCTTACTCACAGTTTTTTTTATGTCAATTCAGCAGAAATCATTCTGAACTCAATTTCTCGACACGAATTCAAGATTTCAGCAAGCTAGAAAAGTGTTTCTATGTTTGTTTGTTCCGAAGTTTGCTCCGAAAAGAAAAGTGAGCACAAAGTACACTGAGAAAACAAGAGTTGTACTCGGAAGGGAAGAGTTAAACTGGCTGTTTGACTAGCAACCAGTAGTCAAACGTACTGGCTGCTAGAAGATGAAGAAGAAAAGATAGCGAGATAAAGAAGAGAAGAAGAGAAGAAGAGTAACTATAAAAGGTGAAATCTAAATGCAACAAACCTTTTCTATGGCTGGTAGATGAGAAAGATGTCGATTTGTGGAGATGAACTCGGCGGCTAATCTTGGCTCAATTTGCCACAATTGGAACATGCATTCAGCGAAATCGGATAACTCGACGGGTTCCTAGAAAGTAAGATGTAAGATCTAAAGCTTCTGGAGGCAATGGGACACTTGTGCTGTAAGCCAGTAAGCGAGAGATCGCAGGTTCGAATCCCGCCACCGACAATGCTTTGTATTCCCATCTCAGAACCAATTTCGAATTGAAAAGACTTAGATTTAGATCTAATAAAGCTAGATTATGATGGGTTTAGAGAATTTACAGAAACGGAGGCAATGGGACACTTGTGCAGTAAGCTAGTAAGCGAGAGATCGCAGGTTCGAATCCGGCCGCCTTCAAATCACTTCCAAATCATTTAGTCCCAGTTTTTTGAGTTCTTTTTAAACTTGATCAATCAAATAACAATTATTATTCTTTTATAAAACAAACTACGAAAAGAAAACTCTATTTTGGAGTTCTTTTTTTCATAAATTTGTCGATCCTTTAAGCCGAAAGCACTTAAAATAAAATAGGGATTTGTGGGTTTTTTTTTGGCCATTCTTTTCAACACATTTCTCATTGCAATCATTTGGATTAGAGCCTAAACCTTTTTGGCTTTGAAATCATGATTTTTCTTGAATTTCTAGATATCATTTCACTCACCAACTCAGCACTTTCGTCAAAAACGTCGCTCAACGATCGAGACGTGTAAAAGAGTTTTCGTCGACGATTTAGTACCTAAAGTAAACGATTTTTAAGGGAAAATTGATGAATTGAAAGAGTTTTAAAACAGAATTTGAAGGTAATGTAATGCTGTAATGTAATTAGAAGGTAATGTAATGCACTTGTAATGCTTGCGATTAGTGGATAGGATTTGATTTGTAAATTTAAAGTCATTTAAGTCATTGAAGTCTTTTCGTCATTTCTTTGAGCCTTTAAACCTTGCAGAAAGATTGATTCCAATTCTTAAACTTTTTATTTACATATTTCAAAACCTTTTACACTTTAGTAAAGGTTTAAATGATTGTTTAAAGAGATTTAAATGATTGTTTAAGGTTAAATGATTGTTTAAAGAGATTTAGATCATTGTTTAAGGTTAAATGATTGTTTAAAGAGTTTTAAATGATTTTTTAAGGTTAAATGATTGTTCAAAGAGATTTAGATCATTGTTTAAGGTTAAATGATTGTTTAAAGAGATTTAAATGATTGTTTAAGGTTAAATGATTGTTTAAAGAGATTTAAAGGATTGTTTAGAGTTTAAATGATTGCTTAAAGCTTAAATAATTGCTTAAAGAGATTTAAATGATTGTTTAAAGTGTAAATGATTGTTTAAAGTTTAAATGATTGTTTAATTCAATTAATTCAATTCTTACTTCATGTTGTGTGATGAATTCGTCAAGAACACTGCTTTGTGAAGAGATTTTTGGAGATTTCGGTGATCGAGGACTTGAGGCTGTCGCACAAAATGGTGTTGAGTCTAAATGAAGATTTCACTTGACTTTAGTAAGGAATGAAGGAATGAAAGTTTGGAGTAAGGAATGTTCGAGTAAGGAATGAAGTTTGGAGTAAGGAATGAAGAGGGGATTAAGCATTTGAACGATTTTTTCTTTCTAGACAAATGCTCTAACCATTGAGCTATCTTTCTATTGTCTGCTATTGCTATTGTCTGTCTATTTTCAATATCTTTCTACTAGAGAAGAAAGAAAGAATACAAAGGGAAAGAAAGAGAAGAAAAGCATCAAATCTTCCTATTTTTTTGTGCTTTTCTTTAAAATTTCCTAGTTTACCGATTCAATTACGGTTTTTTCTATATAAAACCTTTAATAATACTCTAGAAAATTGGTTTTTAAAGTTTCTGAAATCTTTTGTTTTTAAGGTTTTTGACAGGCAAAAGTTGGACAGACCAGTTTTTCTATGGGTTAGAAGAACTAATTCAAAAAACGATCGACTCAGGATTCGAACCCACGACCAGATGACGCCCAGTCGCCTCCCAGACTAACACGCTACCAATGAGCCATCCGACACATTTGCAAGGGCCGCCAGAAAAGACCTTTATCCCTTCTTATTAGAAAAATTGCAAATTCAAGTTCATACAATTTGAACACTTTCTTCCAAAGAAACCCATTTTGATGTGTATAGAGAAAAGATAGAGCATAAAAAGTTAGGAATATACCCAAATTTTCAGATCAATATGATTATCAGAGCAAATTTTCCGATCAATAGAATTCTCAGATGAAATTTTTCGATCTAATCTATGAAAATATGCTAATTTCTTGCAAATTTCCTGCAAATTTATTCAAATTTAATGAATTTTCAAAAAATATAAACATTTTTCTTAAGATTTATTCAAAATTACCTTAAATAAACCTTAAAAAATGATAATAAACGATGAAATTTCTCTTATAAAACAAATGGTAAGGAAAATTGGTGAATTGAAAGAGTTTTAAAAGAGAATTAGAAGGTTTAACACTTGTAATGCTTGCGATTTGTGGGTAGGATTTGATTTGTAACAGTTTTTATGTGTAACAGTCATCAACAAACCATGTGTACTCGACGCATCAGCATCATCAGCTTCGTCAGGCTCTCGATCTCGCTTCAAACCGTTCTCTCGATTCGCCTCTGCTTCAGCCGAATATTTCCCGATTGCGTCTCTTCGTTGTTGAACGGCTAAAGGAATTGTTATAAAACTAACTCTTTAATAGCTTAACATCTTAATAGATTAATCGCTTAATAGCTTAATAGCTTAATAGCTTAATAGCTTAATAGCTTAATATCTTAATAGATTAATAGCTTAATAGATTAATATCTTAATATCTTAATAGCTGAATAGCTTAATAGCTTAATATCTTAATAGCTTAATAGCTTAATAGCTTAACATCTTAATATCTTAATAGCTGAATAGCTTAATAGCTTAATAGATTAATAGATTAATAGCTTAACATCTTAATAGCTTAATGGCTTAATAGCTTCATAGATTAATAGATTAATATCTTAATAGCTTAACAGCTTAATAGCTTAGTAGCTTACTAGCTTAATAGATTAATAGCTTAATATCTTAATAGCTTAACATCTTAATAGATTAAGAGCTTAATAGCTTAATAGCTGAATAGATTAATATCTTAATAGATTAATAGATTAATAGATTAATAGATTAATAGCTTAATAACTCAAAAATAAACACTGTCAGCCATTCTTTTACTGCTTTTAAAGCCTTTCTTTCCCTTTCTAAATAATAATAAACAAATAAATTTCTTATAAAACAAATGATAAGGAAAATTGGTGAATTGAAAGAGTTTTAAAACCGAATTAGAAAACATTTAACACTTGTAGAAGTGATGAAATGCTTGCGATTAGCGGTTTGCGATTAAAATTCTAATTGATCAATTAGCTTTAAATTGAAATTCGATCGATCGACTAGCTTTAAATTGAAATTCCAATTGATCGATTGGCTTTGAATTGAAATTCTAATTGATCAATTAGCTTTAAATTCTAATTCTAATCGATCAATTGTCTTCCAATCCAAATTCTAATCGATCAATTGTCTTCAAATTCAAATTCTAATTGATCAATTGTCTTCAAATTCAAATTCTAATTGATCAATTGTCTTCAAATTGAAATCCTTTACCTCCACGATCCATCCCCACTCGAATACATTTTGTAAATCGACAAGCTCGACATTTTTGTGCACCTGGAGCATCTAGAAATCAAGATTTATCATTAAATTTCAATTTTCTTTTAGAAACAAACCTTTAAAAACTAAACACTTTCCATTTTTCGGGCAAATATATTGCTTGTTGAGGACAACAGTTCGTCGAAAGAAAGCACCTAAGAAATGAAATAAAGTGAAATTTAAAAAAAGTCAATTTTATATAAGAAAAGCTTATAAAATTAGTTAAAGAATAAAATGAATAGTTGAATGAATAGTTTCATCAAAATTTAAACATTAAAAGACTTACTACAAGCTGCACAGGCTTCAGATCCAAAATGGATCCCCGTCGAGTCAGCTCCACAAATTGCACAAGCTGGTAAAGTCATCTAAAAGCTTGTTTAGTTAATTAATTTAATTTTTACAGTTTTTCAATATAATAATAGTCTAATCTAGAGTAATTAAAGCACTTTTTTTATCATTAATTTTCTCTAATAAATTACCCTTCTTTGCGGTGATTCAACGCCGTCTTGATCGGCTTGTAATTTCAGCGATTGATTGATTGAATGAAGAGAGTTTGGGGATTGAGTGCTTTGCGTTTGAGCCATTGTCGTAAAGAATTGATCCATCTAAATAGCTTTCGGATATTTCAAACACTTTCGGATATTTCAATCATTTCCAGACTCAATCTAGAGTAATTGAGTCGATCTGTCTAGAGCTGTCTCTTTTTGAAAAATTCTACTCAAACATTAAAGTTAAGCTAATAGGCTAAAAATCGTTGAAATCTAGAGAGTTTTTAAGGTTTGATCCCTTAAAAATCAAGTTTTTGGTCAAATTTAGGTCAAATTGGTCTTTAGAAATTTGGAAAAGAAATTTGGTTCCTTATCTCGCTGAATTTGGTTGCTTATCTCGCTGAATTTGGTTCCTATCTACAAATTTGGCTCCTATATCTCGAAATTTGGTTCTTTATCTCTCTAAATTTGGTTCCTTATTTCTCTAAACTTGGTTCCTTATCTCTCTAAATTTGGTTGCTTATCTCTCTTAATTTGGTTCCTTATCTCTCTAAATTTGATTCCTTATTTCTCTGAATTTGGTTCCTTATCTATCTAAATTTGGTTCCTTATCTCGCTAGCTTGATAGCTTCATAGATTAATCGCTTGATAGCTTGATAGCTTGATAGCTTAATAGCTTAATAGCTTAATAGCTTAATAGCTTAATAGCTTAATAGCTTAATCGCTTAATAGCTTAATATCTTAATTTAGTTCCTTATCTCTCTAAATTTAGTTCCTTACCTATCTATTAGGTTGGCAACTAAATAATGGCCCTCGCCCTTTTTTGATAAAATCTTTTAATCTTTGCGTTTAATCTACCCTCGCTTGTTGTTAATCGAATATTACTGAATTTCTGGTGCATTATTATACGTTTTTTACTTTCCTGGATTTGATACTTTTGAAATAATTTTGTTTAGAAATGGAAGATCTCAAATATCGAATGCATGTCTGTCTCTGGTACGACTACAAACAAGACAAAACAGCTGCCGAATCCCACAGAGATTTATTGCGAGTTTTTGGTGATGAAGCTCTTTTCGAAACACAATGTAAGAGATGGTATCGACGGTTCAAGGAAGGGGATGAAAGTCTTGAAGATGAGCCTCGCCAAGGACGACCCGAACTTCTGCAGAACGATATTTTGGAAGCAGCTTTAAAAGAGGATCCAAGTCAAACATCACGCGAGCTAGGGGATCGATTGGGCTTTTTGCATACTGCAATCGAAAAGCGACTTCATGCATTGGGGAAAAGTAACCGCCGTGGAAAGTGGATTTCGCATGAATTGAGCGAAGAAAATAAGGCTACTCGTGTTATCACAGCTGGAATACTACTAAAACTTGCGAAAAAGGGAAGCTTCTTGAATTCCATTGTCACTTCTGATGAAAAATGGATCTTTTATGATAATCGAACGCGAAAACGACAGTGGCTTAGCACAAACGAAGACCCAAAACCAACTCCGAAGCCGGATATTCACTCAAAGAAAACTCTCCTCTGTGTGTGGTGGAGTTCTCGTGGGTTGGTGCATTTCGAGGTTCTCAAAAGCCGGCAAACGGTTAATTCAGAACTCTACTCGTCTCAACTACATCGTGTAGATCAAGCAATTCGCTCTCAAGGACTCGAACTCTCTTCAATTCATTTTCTCCATGATAACGCAAAACCACACACTGCAAAACTTACAATGGAGAAAATCGAGGAGTTGGGCTGCAATGTTCTTCCTCATGCGCCATATAACCCGGATATGGGGTCTAGTGATTACCATCTTTTTCGATCGATGCAACACTTTCTAGCCGAGAAAAAGTTCAATGACCTTGACGAAGTCCGAATTTCAGTGCAGAAGTTCTTTGACGATCAACCAGAAGAATTTTTCAAGAGAGGAATCCAGTTGCTCCGTCAAAAGTGGAAAGAAGTAATAAAGAATGACGGAGAATACCTTTTGGATTGATGTTGATATTTGTTCATCTTGTTAATAAATTTTTTGTTTTTACTGAAAAGGGCCATTATTTAGTTGCCAACCTGATAAATTTAGTTCCTTATCTATCTAAATTCGGTTTCTTATCTCTCCAAATTTGGTCTCTCTAAATTCGGCTTTGAAATGATGAGAACGATCTCTTTTAGATCATTCATTCTCTTTTGTTTTGAACTGAGTACACTTTATCTTTTTCTTTATTTTTATCGATAAACTTTATCAATAAACTTTTAAATATAATTTTCAAGGTTATTCAATTATTCTAAACCACCTGGCTTTTCTCATTCTCTTCAAATGTATAGGGAAAAAGGCGGTTGATTAGACTTTCGCTACCGTAATCCATCAACATAGGGATTTGCTTAATTTTTGAGATTAAAAAGAATAGATAAACCGGAATTCTTTAAACAGAATTTACCAAAACGTAATTCTTTTGTTAAAAAAGATATGAAAAGAATAGAAATTGAGGAGAAATGAGAAGAAAATGAGAAGAAAATGAGGAGAAAATAAGAAGAAAATGTAAAGAAAAAGCTAAAGTTAGTCTAAAGTTTAGTTCCGCATCGCATCCGCATTTTTCTATCGCATTGATACTTGAGCTAAAGCTCTTTTGATCGATGATGAGGATATTGAAGTCAGGATAATGGATACTTTGTGCTCATTTCTAAGCACACCCTTTCTATCGCAGATATAGCTCATACTTGAGCTAAAGCTCTTTAGCTTTAAAGGTATTCAGTTTTTTTAAGCTTGTAGACTTAAGGGAGATGACAAACCTAGAATTTCTTCAATCAAATTCTCAATGCTGAGTGTTTACGTCAAGGAAAGTGTTTAAATCAAGGAAAATGTTTACGCTAATCGACTTTTCAACATTTAAACACTTCGCCATTCACTGCACATTTCAATACTACACAAAGTGCACTAGAAAGGCTGTGTTTCTAAGGGAGTTGCACTAGAAAGGCTGTGTTTCTAAGGGAGTTGCACTAGAAAGGCTGTGTTTCTAAGGGAGTTGCACTAGAAAGGCTGTGTTTCTAAGAGAGTTGCGCTAGGAAGGCTGTGTTTCTAAGAGAGTTGCGCTAGGAAGGCTGTGTTTGTAAGAGAGTTGCACTGCACTGTGTTTCTAAGAGAGTTGCACTAGAAAAGCTGTGTTTCTAGAGCACAAAGTAAAGGGAAAAATCATCAGAAATGAATGAACATTTAAAGAAAGTCACTTAAAAAGATTAAAAAGATTCCCCTTTATCAACTTTTCAACATTTAAACACTTTCGGCTTTGTATTAACGGTATTATTTGTATTAATTTGTATTAATTTGTATTAATATTGTCATAATTTGTCATAATTTGCATTAATTAACAAAAATACACATTGTATTACTACAAAAAGTGCGCTAGAAAAGCTTTGTTTCGAAATTTAGAGCACAAACAACACGGAAAAATCGTTAAGCAAACTTCTACAACTCCAAGAAATGAATGAACATTTAAAAGTCACTTAAAAAGATTAAAAAGATTCAAAAGATTCAAAAGATTCCCCTTTATATACCCTTTTTTTTGAAAAAAAGATCAATATTCTTGAATTGATGTCAGTTCCGACCCCTACTTGCCCCCAGCTCTTATCGCATTTTTTTTTTTAGGGCAAAGGTCCACCAAAAAATATTTTCACGTTTTTCCCCATTGACACCAATCAAATTTTAGTGATCACATGCTTTAATAGAAAGAAAAATAAAAGAAATACAAAAAGCACAATCAAGAATAGAAGATAGAAAAAGATAGAGAAGATAGAAAAAGATTTTTGAGGATTGTTGAGATAAGAAAGATTGAGAAAATGATTGTTTCAAAGATCGGATATCTTTTTGTATGAAAAGATATTCGATCTGTGCTTTAAATTGACAAATTACTAAAGATAAGCAGACGGAAATCAGCAAGAATTGATGCCGAAAGATTCAAGAATCATTTCAAGAAAGATTCAAGAATCTTTCGCATCAATTTGTGCAAAGAATTCATTCGAAAGACTCAAGAATTGCACAAAGAACTGGGAAAATCGTGATTCGATCGGGTAGTTTTGAATGAAAAGAGCTCTTGATATAAAGGAAGTTCTAACAAAGAACGTTCTTTTAGCATTCTTAACAGCTTTTATTCTAAAGCTAAACGTATTCTAAAGTTGAAGGTATTCTAAAGCTAAACGTACGCTAAAGCTAAACGTACTCTAAAGCTAAACGTACTCTAAAGCTAAACGTACTCTAAAGCTAAAGATATTCTAAAGTTGAAGGTATTCTAAAGCTAAACGTACTCTAAAGCTAAAGATATTCTAAAGCTAAACGTATTCTAAAGCTCATTCAGTAGATCAAGGTTGATAAAAGACTACAATATTACAGCATTCCTTCAATAGGTTGATGTTAAAAGACTATAGACTTAAGCTAGTCTCTAAAGTTCCCAAAAAAACTATCGTAATCCTAAAAAGACAAGGTTAAAGCTTTAAATGTGATTCTTTCTTCAATGAAACCAAGACATTCATTCAATTGATCGATGATGAGGTAAAGCTTTTTTTAAACCTAGATAATCTAACGACTTTTTTACTTATTAAGATGACAATTTATCTAGATAATCGAATCTTTTACTTGTTAAGATGACAATTTATCTAGATAATCGAATCTTTTACTTATTAAGATGACAATTTACCTACATAATCTAATCTTTTATGACCTAGATAATCAAATCTTTTACTCATTAAGATGATAAATCTAAAGTCACAAAGAATAGTGAACGCAAAATGCATCAAATTCAATCAAATTCTATATTTTGACCTTCTCAGCTTTGAAACAATGATTCTATTGCGAGGATTTGCATAATTTTCCTCATTGATCCTCGATTGGTGAGGTAACAAGAGCGACGATCACAAAAAAAAGAGAATTTTATCTAGTTTGCTTTTGATTTCAAATCATTTATTACATTTTTATCTAGAAAATAAAGATTTACATGAAATCCCTTTA